CGTGAAAACAGTGTTTGTGTCGGGGAAAAGTGTGCGAATAATAATTATTATTATTGTAGTTTACTATTCCTATACTGCCGTGCTTAGAAAAAACGCCATATCTATCCTTTAGTAATATTGAAGATACGGAGTTTTTGTTAAGCACGGCAGTATACAGATATATTAAAATAACATGGTGGATGATGCCGCAAATTTTGTTTTAAAGTTCCATCTGGAGAAACTCATTTCAGTTCTTGAAGGTAAGCATAAGTTAAAAATTGCAGCTTTTCTGTTTATTGTGTGTTTGATCGTACTCATTGAGTACAAGCAGTTATTTTGTCCTATTTTCAGTTTATTAGCTAAAACAAATTTTAGGTTAGAATAAGTTATATTTAATAGATTAATAGATTAGAATATTTTTGCTTGTTTTTATCATATATAAAGTTACTTACTTGCATTTTACTGTCAACTTTTTGTCCTAATAAGTTTATTTTTCATTTCAGATCTAGGTTTAGTTCGTACGTCTTTTTAAGATTTTAATATGTACTGTTCTGTAAGTGTTATTTTTCGTTTTATTAATTTTGGTTGAAAAACTGCTTTAAACCCGCTATACACTCGTACCACAGAATAGAGAATATTCTGTGGCGCGAGTGTGGACCGGACTATAATATAAATAATTCTTGAGCGTTCGCTTTTGCCTATGTAAACAAACATTTCTATACCAAAGGTATTTTCTTACATTTTCAGAAAATGATCTTGGAACTTCTCGTAGAGCTATACAACAACGAAGCAGAGAATAAAGAAATTATCATTACAACAACATCTTCTTTCTCAATAGGAACAAAAATTTGTTTAGTTTGTATTTTTTTATAAAAATAAAATATTGTTCAGTTAACGCAATTTTAATTTCACTTAAATAAAACCTAATATTTAATAATAATCACTAAATATTCGAACAGTAAAGTAATTCTTGTAAAACAGATTTAATTTTGGTGACTAAATAAATTTAAAATGATAAGTTTTAAAGTTATTCTGGTAAAACAGATTTAATTATGGTGACTAAAAGAATGTAAAATGCTAAGTTATTAAAGTAGTTTTGATAAAACAGATTTAATTATGGTTACTAAATAAATTTGTAATGGCAAGTGTTATTTAGTTACAGTAACTAAATATATTCCCAAGCGTAAAATTTAATTTACCTATGAGAAACAAAACGTAGTAAGCATACTTGACTAAATATTTTGTTTACCTTAAATAAATATTTAATTCGCCAAATAGGACTAAATTATTTAGTACCCACAAATAAATTATATTTATTATAAATAACCTGTTCTCTCAGTGTGAAAGAACTAAAGGCTATCCCAAAGATCGAGTTTTAGAAGTGTTTCGAGTATTGGAAGAAGAGCTGGCACATATGCATAATATCCAATCGGGACTATTTTGAAGGCGAAAACATTAATGTAGACGAATAAATAAATATTTGTTTCAAAAAACGAAAATTCCCGATATTTTCTGAATACACCTCGTACATCATTATGACCAATGTTGCATTTATAGTTGCATGTATCTGTATAAAATTTATATAATTATAAATAACAAGGAAAAATATTTATTATTTCATTTTTAGACTAGGATTTTGCAGTATGCTGCAGTTAAAAATTAGACAATATTTCAAAACGTACTAGATCTAGTACAATTGTACTAGACTGGCAACACTATTATTAATAATGCTATTTTTTGCGTGACATGGGGAAGGGGATGTTAGGCGTAGTCCGCAGTGGTAAACAGTTAATACAAAGTGTCCAAAAGATTTTTTAAAGTATACAAAAATATTAATTTTGCTTTATAATAAATCCACCAAATCCACCGAAATCCTCTAAAAAAATTATATAAATAAGAAAACAAAAGCAAACTTAATCATGTTGACTAGTGTACATACATATGTTACTGCTATTTACGTTACGTTAATCATTATTTACAAAACATGTATGTAAGTAATTGCAATTATTAAAAGTACATATAAATATTTACAATTAAACTTATTTTAAAGTATTAATAAAACGATTAAGTTTTTGTATCAAAAATAAAGTTTACATTCTTAAAAGATATAGGTTTGTTGCAAAATAGATACATAATTATAAATTTAATTTTCAACGTTTTCTGTGGATGTAGGTTATGGTCAACTTTAATATTTTAAGAATTTGTATTTATGATTGTAATTTGTTGATAAGCAACTATTACAGTTTATTTATATTTTAAATAATAGTCTTTTATTTAGAAAAAAATTTTTTTTTGATATTTTGTAGGTATATTTTTGGGGTTTTAGAATTTTGCTCGGAATTTTGTCAAAAAGTAAACTTTGAAGAAATCATAAATTATACCCACAATGTTATGTACATATATCATATACAGTATACCTATATATGATATACATAACATTGTAGATATAATTTATTTCTTCTGTACATATAAATATATATTATATAAATATATTATAATTAGGGTTGGGATTTTACAGGTCAAAATCTTTTGTGGTCAATTGACCGGTCAATTGACTAATCACCGGTCAAATTCTTTAATTTTTTCTAAAGAAATAAAGGCATGATTAAAATTACTTAATTTTAAATGGATTTAATTTTAATTTTTTTTTAATTTTTTCTAAAGAAATAAAGGCATGAGTAAAATTACTTAATTTTAAATAGAAACGTATATTTATTGAAATACAGCTAACAAAAAATAAATAAACCATTCCGAGGTACAAAAAAAATTTATAATATCATTGTTTTTAAGAACATTTACGTCTAACTCGCAGCAGAGCAGCAACAGCAGCCCAGCAGATAAGACCTGAAGATGGTACATGAGATTGTACCGAAACGTCGTCAGACATACGGTTCTTTTAAGAACCAAAAACCGACAACACGGTGCTAGCATGTGTGGATAACGACACATCACCCTCGCCATTGTCTTTACTCTCTTAAAATTAATTAGTCATAAATGATCCAGAACCACATAACACTATTTAAAAAGCATTATGATTGCACCATGGTCACTACAGAACATTTTTTTCATACTTTTAATATTTTCCGCTAGGTAGCGCCGCCGCCGCGCGTGGTTGAATTAAAAGTTTTTGACCGATTTTGACATGGTTAAAATTTCTCCTGTCAAAATAGGTAAAAATCTCGGTCAATTGACCAGGCACAACCCTAATTATAATAATACATATAAACATAATAATATTGTCCGACGTGGGAGAAACAGGAGATTCCTCGAGCGTGGAGTTTGCGGTAACACGCACACCAAAAGGAATTTAAAGCCAATTTTATTTAATATTTTATCTGACATTGATAGCTGTCATTCATTTTTAACGTCTCTCTTTTATAATTTTAACTTAAAGCCAAGGTATGCCCGTGGGCGAAATGCTATTTTGCCCACTAGTGGACGAAGTAAATTATCGCTCACCGGTTAAAGTTAAGAAATGAAATATATATATTCATATATATACACCTATAGGTGTAGAATAAAATTTGTTCTTGAGTTATCAGTTACCTTGAGGTACAATTTTAGATTTTTAGCATAACATATACCGCATATACCTATATGTTTTTGTTTATTTACTGTTTTCTTTCAAGTAGGTATAGGGTGTTTTCTTATAAATGGGACACCCCTATAAAGTCTTTATTAGAAGAGATATCAAAAAAATTTAAAATTCAACTTGCATTGTTTAAACGTAATTTTTTTAACAAAAATTTAAAAACATTGGTAAATTTAATAAAATAGCATTGATATTGTTTTTTTAATAAAATACCCTGTATATTTTTGAATTTTAAATTGAGTTTTTTCTTCTGGCTTTAAAAACATAGGTATAGTTTGTACCCACATATATTCATGGCAACTATTATTTTTACGGTGTTAGGTTTAATTATTAATGTTTAATACAAACATTCAAATTATATATTTTTGAAATTGGAATAATAAACTCTATCTAAATATTTAAAAATATACAAAGTGTTTTTATTGAAAAAAAAAACAATGTAATATCTATTTTATCAATTTTATCGATGCTTTTTTGGTTTTTATTTTTTCTTAAAAAAATTACTTTTTTAAACCATGCAAGCTGTATAAATATTTTTTTAATATCTCTTCACATAAAGATTTTAGAGGTGTGTCCCATTTATACGAAAACACCATGTTGATATGTTTTGTGTTATTTTTTAATTCTCATAAACTTTTAAAAACATAATTTGGGAAAAAAATCGATTTTTGGTCGAGCAGTGTTATTGACTGGATAACTTTGATATTAGGTAGGTATTTAAGCATAAATAATTAATTTATAGATCAATAGTTTCTTTTACTATTATCGAGTAACATTGTTTGTAAACAATTTTGTTCGTAAACAATTTTGTTCGGGCTTGTTTTCCTTAAAAATAGATACCTAATAATGGAGTAGTAATAATTCTAGTAGTAAATAATTTTCTTTTTAACTTGAAAAAACAATCTACGCCTACAAAATTCTTGAAACTATGCAGGTTTAAATACTTATTGTTTGTATATTGTTTAAAGTTTCTAATTTTAAGCTGTAGTAATGATTCTATTTATATGTAGGTACAGAGGCAGCCAAAAAATTTTTCTTTAAGTTTTGGGATTTTCACAAATTACCTTAATTTAAATTTAATATAATTTACAATGGTATTATCAATGTTTTTGCCATCATATTTTTTGCTTAAAAAAACGCTTTCTGGCGGTGCACCGCGCTGTAAGGATACATATGTATACCTAGTGTTTAATGAACGAAAAGGTCAAAAGTTGAATTAGAAATTGAATTAGAATGGATTGGTTTAATTTGCGACGTCAAGGGCTGAACGGAATTTAGTAGTTTAGTAGCCTTGGATCGCTAATAACAGAAACATTTTATTTTTCGAGATATCGTTGCTTAATTGTACCTACATAGGTACTTACTTATAAGTTAATTGAGGTGTATAGTTTGGGGCACCTGTTACATGCGCCCCGCTTTTATTATAAGGGTAGTACCTAGATATACTGAAGTACCTAGTTTGATTTCGGGAAATGTGTGTGGATGTTTTGGATAGTTTTGGCGTGCGGTTAACATTTAAATAGACGGAGCCGAATCGAGAAAAATGCGGCATGGCCCGCAGTTGACACAGTGTGCGGAGCTCAAGAACCGGTGGGTTAAATTTGGAGGGTTGGGTCCGGGGGTTTGGCAAGTTTGTGCTTCGGTATTTAGCGTGTAAGGATGCACGTTTCGGCATCAAAACTGTCACAATATTCTTGAAATCAATAGTCATGGCGCCTAAAAAATCAATCCTGCTCGCGCAATTCGAGCGGCCCCGTTAAGTCAAATAAAAGCAAAACACTTCACTGACCTTGTATCATACGTTGCGTGGTCGATAGCTTCTGATTATTCGAAGACATTTCTTGAAATAATTTTATACACTTTAAACTATAAACATCGGATTTTTAACGCACAAATATACACTCACCGTTCACAAGCTATATTCTACTCAAGATGGAGCAACGAGCGCGTCCCAGCCAGAGCTCTCAGCTGTGCGCACGTTTTCCGCGTCGAATCATTGCTGCTAGCCGTGCGACACACGACTTTAATAACGCTGCTGGCGCCCGCTGCAGGAAACCGCCTGTTAATCACTCCTGCTGACGAACAAGATAACTTTCTGCTTTTTTACGCTAATACATATAAAACGCACTAGATGTCTAATTACTGTTCACTCACCGTTGTGTTGGTTGCCTATCTTCAAACGGAAGGAACTTTAAATAACAGTTCGATGCGTAATAATTATTTAAAATAATTCAACTTGAAAGTTCTACATAAAATGTTATAATAAAAAACCATACCCTTAAACGCAGTGGCGGCTGGTGGATTTTGGGCACACCCATATCTCAGTTATTAGACATGGGACCCACATCAAATTTATATTACCTAGTTTCAGAGCTGCAAGCTCTCAGAAAACTTAAATCGTTTTTTTGATTTAAATCGTTTTAGTGACTTAAGTCATTTGGTAATAAGTCATTTCTCTAAAACTGACTTAAGACTTAAAATTTAAGTAATTTTCAAAATGATTTGTGACTTTTTTTTTCAATATAGAAAAAACTTAAGTCATTTATAAATCAGTACATACGATTTAAGTCAGATAGAAACGATTTAAGTCAAACAAAGATTTAAGTCTTTTTGAAAAAGATTTAAGTCTTTTTAGAAAATATTTAAGTCAGATTTTTCGTATATTTTTTTATAAATTTTTAACAGCGGCATTTTCTTTTGAACTGCCAGGGGTTCACGCGGCAGCAGATCAAAAACTCCTTTAATTTCCTACCTACAATTGCTACCGCTATAGCGGTAGCAATAGTGGATAAAAAAACCGCCGCGGTAAAGTTAGCTTTTTGGAACCGTTTGACGGCTACATTAAAAAATGTCCTGTCTAAAATGAATTAAAAAAAGTCGGGATTTATAATTTTGTTATTTTGTTTGCCAACATTCGTCATGTTCGTGCGTAGTTATGTCTAATTTGTGATTATTAGTGCAAAGTGAAAACAATCTGAGCGGTCGTGAATCGAGAGTTTGGAACTTCCCAGCATTACTCCCTTAAGGGAGGAATATTTTTTTTTCTAGATGGATGTTGAACCAGCTAATAAAAGTTATCAAAACAACAAGTTATCAGTTTTTGAAATACAGCGATTTTAAGAAAAATGCTTCAACTTTTATCTATTTTAACAGAGTTTGAATCTATTACCGTTTAGAAGTTACCCATTTATGTATATAAAAAAGTAGCCTCCCTGTATGTCTACTCTACTAAAAAATATGGTTTAAGTTTTTATTTTTATTGTCTAATATATACTCAAAAAATGTGTTTTAAGTTTTTATTTTGTTTGTAAGTGTTCTGAAAATCAGGCCCGTTCCTGGGGTGTCTGGCGCCTGCGTGCAGCATTCGTTGGTGCGCCCCTTTTATATTTAAATATAATACATTAAATATTTGAATTTTAAGCCGTAAAATTTAAAAAATATATATTTTGCGACAAACTGGCAATATGTAATTAAAAATGTAAAAAACCGCTTAAATTAAGTATAAAAAATATTTATTAAATTACCAAACAAACAAGTAATATCATAAGGGCATCTATTTTTTCGAAAAAAATCAAAAAAACACGTTGCTAAGTAATATTTTAACAAGAAGCATGAGTGCTGGTGGCAACAAAAATCCGAGTCGAAGACGAGGATTTTTGCACCTGCACGAATGCATTTTGTTAAAAAATATTACTTAGCATTGTGTTTTAACGATTTTTTCCATAGTTAGATGCCCGAATGGTATTTGACAAGACTATTTTATGAGTAACAGTTAAAAATTAAAATATAAATTGTAATTTTTGGTGACAACAGCTGTCAAGTTTTGCCGCGGGTAAACTCGAAAAAACTGCTGACAGGTGCTGTCATACAGTTTTTCCACATAGAAACCATTTGTAGTTCAAAATTGCGCGTTTGTGATTGGTGGAAATTAAGACGAGGAAAATAGTCAGTGATAAAAATACTCTAAAGAAAAAAAAACAATCTAAATAATATAATAACTACAACTGGTTTTTGTTGACGTACTATCTAAAAATGACTAGTTTTCAAAGTAAAAAAGCAGTCACTAATAACTTTAGTCCACAGCTATTTGTATTCCGGGCATTTAACAGCTTATTATTATGTAAAATTGTCCCCTGAATCAGAAAATACCGTCAAAAATTATAAAAGTAAAGCAGTTTTAAGATATAGTCAATACCATATTATATGGAAAATTTACTAAATCTCAAAAACGTTCTACTTTTATAACTTTTGTCGACATTTTCGGATTCAGCGGACAATTTTACATAGGAGTTGACTGTTAAATATCCGGGATACAAATTACTATTGACAATAATTATTAGTTGCTGCTTTTTCGCTATTGCAATTAGACTAATTGAATTAGTCATTTTTGACTAATTCTATTTTAGAGAGTCAAAGCTCATTCACATCCACTTAATACGCGTAACTTAACTTAACGTACGAGAGAGACGTAAGTTAAAATACATTGAAACCAATGCAGCTGTTTACATTCGTAGAAAACTTATCACACGTAACTTAACGTATTCAAAAGTTGGGTCCGGCTCAATACGTTTCTTACGTGAGCCAATCACATGCCCAGTAAAACGATATAGCGCTATCTTGTTGTTTCACTTTTATAGATAGAGCCAATCACATGCCCAGTAAAACGATATAGCGCTATCTTGTTGTTTCACTTTTATAGATAGATAGGCAACCCAGTCTACATCGATGTCTACATTGCACGTGCTTGTATATTACGTTTTTTGCGTGTATTAAGTTAATGTAAACAGACAACTTAAGAGACGTAGGTTTCTTAAGTTAAGTTAAGTTAAGTTACGCCTATTAAGTGGATGTGAATGAGCTTTTACTACTGTTAAACTTTGCTACCGTCAACTGCAACTATCAAACAAATACTAAAGATAATATGACCATTTCTCTCCTTTTATTTTGACCAAAACAAAATAAGCAGCCAATATCAAAGCGGCAAAAGGCGCTTTATAGCTACAGAAAAAAAGAGCGGCCGACGAAAAAAAGGCAGAAACCTTTATCCAATTTATGTTTAAGTATTATATGCAAGAAAGTTTATCGTTACAAAGTACTGATTGAGTCTTTGATTTTGCGCCCCCGAAATGTTGCGCCTGCGTGCGTGCACGCACTGCACGCTCGCCAGGAACGGGCCTGCTGAAAATAAATCGTTTTAAATTCTTAACATAGTGGTTTATTATCATCTGTATCTACAATAGATTAATAATATCAGTATCATTAATACCAAAAAATCGTTGTATTGTAATTATTTTGATTTAAATCACAATTATTGATTCAAGTCATTTTATTGACTTAACTCTTAGATCACGATTTAAATAAAAACTTTATAAAGTCTATAGACTTAAGTCATAAAAACGACTTACTAAAGGAATTAAGTCATAAGATGACTTAAATCACTTTATATTGATTTAAGAATTTGCGAAAATGTCTTGACTTAAAAGAAAATGATTTAATTCAAAGACTTAATACTTAAATCATTTGAACTTTATCTTAGAATTGAATTAAGATTTAAATCATTTTGATTTTAGAATTGACTTAAGACTTAAGATTTAAGTCTTCTTAAAACTGACTTGTTGCAGCTCTGCCTAGTTTATAATGACAAGTTCTGCTCAAGCAGAATTTAAATTGAAGTTTGCGAAAAAAAAGTTAGTTTTTAAGTGTGCCCCCAGCCTCCTCCCCCTCCAAATTAAGATAATTCAAATTAAAGTGGTACAATATTTAAGGTAGTTGTCGTGGTACAATATTGTCAAAAATGTTTAGATTATAAGCACCGTAAATGTATACGAGCTTGTAGCTAAGTGATTCATAATTTTTTCGCAAGACTGTACCCTGGAGACGTTAACTTTACGTAATACTTTCAAATATTTTCATAAGTTTTAATCCGGCAACGTCGCTTATGCTCAACCAATAGATATATTGGAGACTGAATCAGTCTATTTGAATTTACTCGCGTACAGCGTTTCCAAGTTGTTTTTATCTGACACTAGTGATGTATACTTTTTACAAATTGTTGAACTTTAAACGGTTATTTATAAACAATTGGACGGTCAAAAATTTTTAATTATTTTTTTTTTAACTCAGTAAAAATACATTAAAAGACTGTTAGTTTTTTGAAAGCTTCTGACAGTTAGTTTTTTTTTTATAACTAAGAAACTGGTACAGAACTACAGAAAGCGTATACAATCCATGTTAATTATCCAATTTTTAATTGAATTTATCTAGGGTTATAGACGGCCAATCGACTTCAAATTTTAAGGATAATAATAATAATAAATCTTTATTAAATAGGAAATCCTAATATACAATCAATAAAAACAATTATAAAAATATTAATATTTCTTTAAATAAATTACACTGTATTTTAACACCCAATCTAATCTAACAATAATTACTTACACAAAAAAAACATAATAAAATTTTTAATTTAACAAAAATGCACATAAAGCTCTCTTAAAGGTTGCTAGTCTCACAATTTTTTATTTCTTGTGGTAACAAGTTTTATTCATTTAGCCCTTTAAAAAATAATGAATTCATTGCGGAATAAGTAT